GAAAGACGTGGGAAGTGGGTGAAGCTACGAGCGATGACCTGAGTCTCTGAGCATATGTCAATATTTTAATGGATGGACGATCTCCTGGGTTAGCTGCTTGTAGAACTCTCCTGCAGGTGTAAAGAATTTGCTTCATCAATTAGACAATCCAAAAAATTAGAAGATGTAGTCATTAATAAACGGGTGTATAAGCACTGTTGCACGTAAATGCATTTACGACAACCATTTTTCGCCACTTAAAGCGGCTCTCCCAGGAAAAAAAATCAGAGATGAAAACTATTTTTACATAAATTCTATTGGACTCCGTCAGAACCGACTTTGCTGGTTGAATCCAGAGGTGCCAGACTAATGTGGCATCTCTACATTTTTCTGAGGTCGTAATAAACCGCACCAGATCTAAAGACGATCTGTTGCTAATGTACATACCACATGTAAAATTATGGACATGGTGAGAAAATTAATGTTTCTAGGCAAAGGAGAAACCGTGCAGAGCGCACCGAGGTCAATGCAATTGTACATATACCAAACCTAGTGTGAAACCACTATCCCGACGGGAAACAGGATAGTTCCATTCTGGCGTATTTGTAATTTTGATTGACCTTGACCCTTCCATGATTAAAAGTGCATATAGAGTTTTCATCCTTGCCATATTTGTCAATGCTGAAATGTTAAAGAGGTTACAAATCGAGAAGTGGTCTGTGATTTTGGTGTGCTCCAGTTACAAAAGGGAGATTAAGGCGAGCAACTTCTTCTCAGATTATAAATGCTTTAAAATAACTTTTTGTGCGTTTATTTCCATGATTCCTTAACGAAGTAGTTCTCTAAAGCGATTTTAGAAGCGAGATTAGGTTCCGAAATTTAATTCGACTCCTTGAAGAATGTTTCAGTAACACATTACGAAAATAGTGGATATTAATGCATTAGGGCAAATTTAAAGCATTTTCACCACTTTCGCGATCCCCATGCGCCATGGAGGCATTTCTGCTTACCTTAGGAAAATCAGATTTTATCAGTGGAATTCACTGCTCCGTCATCTCGTTTTTTTCCTTATCATTAAATCAAAGCATCATGCAGGCCAAATTTCAAATTTTGCATAAACAAATCGTGTTTTCCAGAAACAAATAGGTCAAATAAAATATCGCACTCGTCACTGAACTTTGGCAGCAGTCCGAGTTGATCCGAAAAGTTGACACGGTGTTTGCTATGGCCTGATGTAGTAAGTTGTAGGGATTTTTAAAATGTATGCGACTGTTATTCTTACTGCATGCCTATCTGTTTCACACAATCCATGAAGTCTCTCCCTCCTTTGAGTTTACATTTCGAAGGATAAACAGTTATAGCTGACTGTCACAATCTGGCTCAAACCTGTGCTTTGTAGGCCTCTCCTTGAGTAAAAGCTAGGGCTATTCAATTAGAGGGAAGGAAACCATGTTCGTGATTCCACAAAACTTCAGCTACATGTCTTATCCTGTCAAAGTAGTTATGAGAAATTTCCCATCTAAATACATGACAAAATGAGGCCGGAGATGCCTCAGCAGCTGATGGAATTTACGTCAGGCCTGGGTGAGAGGTGGTGATGGTTACTTCAACCCATAAACTATTCAGCAAACTTCTTCTTCCATCTACCCGAAAGTTGGCCAATAAAATGGGAGCACGTAACTCAAAGTTCCTGTTTGTCAACATTTGGAAGTTCAGTGCAGAGACATTGAGAACCCCTAATTACCTTAACTTTGGCTCATACTGAGGCTAGATCACCCATTGAATCTTGTGACTTACGTGCTTGAAACACTGTATAGCGGCTTCTACTCACCTTAAAGTGCACACTTCTGCCGTATTTTGAAATATGAAATAGGCTAATAATGCGAAGTAACACCATTGCTTTGGGGGTACCTGCCTAATGACGCAAATGACTTGTTGTTACCACTTCTGTATTCAAAACCGATTTACTAAGCACTAAGGGCGTGGACGACCAAAAATAAAGCAAAATGGTGTGCAATCTACTCCATAATAAATAAAATTAACCCAAATTCTTTTTTCAGACCCCAAAAAACGTCACATATGGCACCGCATTGACGTGTTGCTGTTCGACTTGCTTCGAAAGGTATGAGAAATCGGTATACACTCAGTTAACAGCTAGTTTTAGCCTTTCTCGAATTAACTTTTGGAATTTGAAATTTTTATAGGCACTGATAATCAGCCAAAGGCCTCCTAATTCAAGTGCCGGAGATTGTCCTCGTACCGGTAAAATGGAAGGAGAGTCGGCGCAGTTAAGTACACACTTAAGCAAATGCTAATTCTCTGTATACACATTTCAAATAGACTTTCTTATTGCTGCTTACCAAACTATTCTGTGTCAAATTAGCCTATTCAATGCTCATAGTTTGGAATCGCCTCAAATAAATAGGATCCAAATTCGAATTGCCGGCATTTTTTGGATCGGATGATTAGATCACACTGCTGCACTCAAATAAACAAAAAGCAGTACAGATTCGCAACCATCTCAAAAGTTGTATCTTTTGAACAGTATATTTTGTCATTCAGAGCATTTCGTTTGAGAAGTCACTTAGGCATAAAACCACTACACCAAATCTGGTCTTAACTTGATCCGATGTACTTGGCTGTGAGGTTTAGAATCCAGGCAAACTAGGGCAAGCAAACTGATGCCTAATTCTTCTCACGTAGACAAAAGACTGTGAGAAGTAACATGGCATGAATCTCAGGCAGCTCTACATGACTGACACTTGGTGTTGTTAGATAGGCACACGGTACAGGAAGGTTGGAGTACTGTAATGTAATACACTGGAATTTAAAAATGTAGGAGGGGAAATTAGGGGAACAGGCAAAAAATTCGTCTTTGATTGAGCTAGAGACACTTCTTGTGAACAATACCCGGTCCCACCTCCTCGTAGTCCTCTTTGGAAATCCAGACCTTTCTGAAGGAAGATAGCGATCCCAGTATTGATCCACCTATCCACACACAATACTTCCTCTCCGGTTGCGCCACAATCCGTACATTTACCGACGAGGGTGCCATCTCAGAAATGTCCTTTTTTAGTCGGTCTGCCATACCAGGAAACATTGTCGAACCTCCAGAGAGCACTACATTGTAATAAAGATCCTTTCTTGTGTTCATATCGGATCGTCCAATTGACTGGAAAACAGATTCCGCCAACCCAGGACATTCCTTTCCAATCAGAGCTGGTCGCATTAGTGCTTCTGCGCATTGGAATCGCTCGCTTCCTATGGTGATAACATGGCCGTCGGGTAGTTCATAGTTCTTTTCAACTTCACTTGTGGTTTCTGCACGGATTAGTTCCTCCTCGAAGTCTCGAGCCACGTAAGCTAGACGTTCCTTGATCTCTCGGACCACTTCGCGTTCCGAGGTTGATCGGAAGGCATTCCCACGTCCTCGAAGCAGTCTCATTAAGTATTCCGTGACTTCTCGACCAGCCAGATCCAATCTATCGATTGCTGAGGTTATAGCATAACCCTCATAGACTGGAATAGTATGAGTTGCTCCATCACCGGAGTCCAAAACCAGACCAGTCATTCTTCCAGAAGCATGTAGGGCTAGAACAGCTTGCAGGGCAATATACATTGCGGGAACATTGAATGTTTCAAACATGATAGTAGCCATTCGTTCTCTGTTTGCCTTTGGATTCAGTGGTGGGTCAGTGAGAAGGACTGGATGCTCCTCTGGATTTACACGGAGCTCGTTGAAGAAGATCTGATTCCAGAGTTTCTCCATATCTTCCCAGTCATTTACGTAACCATGCTCGATGGGGTGTTTGAGAAAGAGCATACCACGTTTCGTTTGGGCCTCATCACCCACATACGCATCCTTCTCGGCCATTGCGGTGATCACCGACTCGTACTTGGGACGTCCAATTACGGAAGGAATGACGGAGCGAGGAGAATCCTCGCCAGCAAATCCCGATTTGCTGATTCCAGATCCGTTATCGATCACAACTGGCACAGCCTCGTCTGCATGCATCTTTGTGCGGTGTGAACTTGCGTGTAGGTGTGTTGGTGTGTATGTGTGTGAGACAGAGAGCGTTAGTGGAGAAGGATTTCGCTTGAACCGATTTATATCGTATGTTGCAAGGTGCTCTGCAAGGATGGCTGCTATTGGTTCCTCTAGCTTTGCAATGATACTCGACTTCAAGTACAAAGTGCTCTAGAGCTCTGGAGTAATTGGTGAGTTAGCAGGAGTGATTCATTGGCACTTCAACCAGCAAGATCTGGTGGGTACAAGAAGCTAGGATGAAAGCATAGTACATTTAAGAGAAATATGATATGCCTAAACGTGAAACCATTTGGAAATTCATACTGTCTGCCTGAGGACAAAATTCGCCTCACTGTACGCATTTAATCTTAATCTTAAATTAGCGGTAACTTGAATCCGTCCCTCATTTGTCTCCCTTTGGGCCTCCATTTGCTGCAAAAGAGGCCCTTCAAGGGTGGCCTGTAAATATGTATGATTACCAACAATGCTTGAGATAATTTTTTGAAATTACCTTCTAGATCTGAATAAACCAATTCCCATATCCATCTGTGCACACTCACTCACGCGGAACACTAACTGGCTGGCTCACAAGTTCAAAGAGGGTATAAAATAATTGTGCAGGTAATCCTTCGCAATTGAATCAACGATAACCAATCACGGCGGGCCTTTTGATTCCATTTTGACTAAAAGTGCAATGAAACACTCTTCTTAATCATCTTTACTTGGTGCTTTCACAGGCCCTTCCAAATTGCATTATGCGAGATGTAAATTTCCTTGAGTAGACATACATTCTCCTTAATTTAATTTCTTAACAATGTACTATCACAAATACTCTGATCAAGGTGAATTGAAATGCAGTCCAGTGTATTTCCGTTCTTAAACAAAGATCTGCTCTCTTAACCGCAGAAAGCATTAAAATGCGTCAGGAACTTATAATTCAGTGGGGCAATCAAAAGGCTTTCTATAATTTTTACAAAGAGTAATTTGTAGGGAATCACAAAACATGGGCATGTGTCAGGCTATTGGTATGAAATGTTTTATTGTGCCCTCTACAAACTTCCTCCATTTTCGTGCTCTCATATCATAAAGTGTTAGCAGAATGAACCTAATTGATGTGATGCAGGGTTTTTTTTCTTTACAAACGATGTACGACTCGGTGCCAGATGTGAAGAGATGTCTCTTGTAAAATTTGTTGTTGTGGAACGTCTAGCCTATAAATGATTGACTTCGGTGAATCATTTAAGGGTGCTGCACCACACCCTAGTCGCGGTAATTAAGAAGTATGTCACTATCAGTTGGAATAAGTGCCGGTTGACTCGACAAAAGTAACGACTTGCTGTGCCTACCATGACTGATGTAATTAATTGTCGACATCAGTACGGGAACTTAGTGAGGTTAAGTAATGCAAACTATACTTGCATTGGGAAATAATAGTGAATCTGAAAGGTTATGAGTTTTCAGCTTCCCACGTCTTTCATTTGCTTTGAATAAACCGGCAGGGGAGTTCAGTCTGTTTACAGAGTGAATTGTAATGAGAAAAGAATTCCACATAGTTGTGTTGTAGGGTTTATTAGACAACTGAGTATATCATCGGTTATTCCCAAACGGTCCACTATGCAAACAATTCATTGCATCCCTCTTAGGCACACCACTCTTCCCTCCCACAGAGGACAATCCTTGCTTCACGGACAGCGCACGCAGTTGTTGGTCAATTGCTGAGGGCCAAGTGTCGCTTACGATGGAGTTTGTTTTGCTGCATTCGCCTCAACCACGTGTAAAGAAGACTGGTTCTTGAGAAAGAGCCAGGAAAACTAAGTGCTGGGTGATGAAAGTGGTGTTGTGTGGAGGCCACACCCAACCTGATTACCACAGCCAAAATGACCGGTGAGGAGATTTGCACTTCAGTTATGATGGAGGATGGAGGTTGTCTCACCTCACCTCACCTCACCTCACCTCACCTCCATCCTCACCCCCACTTCCTCGTCATCAGCCTCATCCTCCATCTTCTCTGATGTTTCTCCTCTTGGCGTCAAAAAATCGCATGCAAAATGGAATCGGCAGTGACAGAGTGGAGTAGAACGACATTTGCGAAGTTGAGGCGCGAGAGCAAGAAGGCTGTTCGGTATGTGAGGTGGACTGTGTGCTTGTAAAGACAAAGCGGGCTGTAAAGGTGGGATTCTCAGTGATGATGCTTGGCTGTGTTGTGCCGAGTACCACATCACAATGGGATTGTGGATACAACATGCTGCGCATGTCCTCAAATCGGTGCTGCTTTGTTTTGACCCATCAATTGGCGTGTTCCTTCTCCAATTTTTGTGGTTGTGACTGCATGCGAATGGACGTGCGACGCACTCCACCTCGGTGAGATGATCAGCAGCTTTGACGTACATTGGATGGGACACACACAGGCGACTGCAGACGAGGGGACTTCAACCACACGTTGAGCAAGAGCACAATACAGGGTAGACTTGTGTCCCTACTTTACTGTCTGTATTCACAGGAGAATATGGTGGGCGACTTCTGTCGCTCGGTGGAGTTCAATTGACTGGCGTGATAGCCATCTTAACTGAGAGCCACATCTCAGTTGAGGTACCGATGACATGTGGGACTAACTCAAAGTGAGGCTTGACTACTGATTCCCTTCTGTTTACTACTATCCTTTTGTCATGAGGACAACTAACATCAAGCATTGTCACACATTTGCCCTCGTGATGCATGTCGTTGCTGGCTATGGTGAGGGATAAGAACGTACTGTTACCTTGGTAAAACAGAACAAATTCGAAGTCCACGACGTTCTGACTCTACCTGTTGTCATACTTCTGACGTAACAGGAGGACGATATCACTCAGCGTTTTATAACAAATGGCAATATTTAATGCCGAAAGAGACAGGTCCCATTGACTGATCATCCTTGTTCTAGGTAGACCTGATGCATTAGTGCCTGTGTTCATTTGCAGCATA